GCTCCTCGCACCACCGGTCGGGGCGCATGTGGCGCCCGAGCCCGAGCTCCTCCACGCGCGCGGCATCCGCGTCGTCGAGCGCTGGGAGGCCCTCCGAGGAGAATAGCACGGCCTCGGGCGGCATCCTTCCGTCTTCTCCCTCCTCCCTCCTCCCTCCACCCTCCTCCCTCTACCCTCCTCCCTCCTCTCTCCTCCTCCTCCTCCTCCTCCTGCTACGACCCTGCTCGCGCCTCCTCCCTCCTCCTCTCTCCTCCTCTCTCCTCCTCACCCTCCTTCCTCCTTCCTCCTTGCTCCTTCCTCCTCCTTCCTCTTCCCTCTCCTCCTCCTCCTCCTCCTCCTTATCCGCCTCCTCCTTCTCCTCCTCCTCGCTGTCCTCCTCAATACATCATAGTTATCGTCGCTGTCGTCGTCGTGATCATCGTCATCGTCGGCCTCGGGCGGCAGGGACACGACGAAGGTCCAGCAGCGCCCGTCCCCGCTCTCCGCGCAGGCCACCGACGAGATCTTGGAGGCGTCGATGCTCGGAGGAGGGCCAGTCCCAGAAGTCTGGCGATCGGGGAACTCGAGACGGCTGTGTTTTCGCCATTCTGGCTTCGGGAAGCCCGTTCCGCCGGAGGCCAACGAGCATGCACCGATGCCGTTTGCCAGGAAACCGTCGACGCAAAGATCCTGTGGGCGACCCCTCACGCGTCACCACAGAAGCTCTGTTTCCTCGTTTGTTGAAGGCGCGAAATCGACGCATACACGTGGCCATCCCGCCGCCCCCCTAGACGGCTTATGATCCCGGGGGGAAAGCAGCCGCGGAAGCATTCGACGCGACAACTGCCTGTGCCCTCGTGGGGGGCGCCCTGGAGCCCCAACAAGGCCCCAGCGGCGCCAAACACACAGCCCCGAAAAACCCACAGCAGGGTTCCCAGATTCCCAGATGGGGTCCCAATGAGCCCCTGGCCTAACGACGCGACAGCTTCAACTGCCCTTTTGGGGCCCGTTCGGCGATTCCAAGACATGCGACGACGCCGGACAACCCCAGAAAGAGGGCCCCGAGAGAGACACAAGAGGGTTCAAAAGGGGCCCAGTGAATCACTTGTCCAACTCCAAGGCGTGGAATTCGAAGCGATCACTTGCAGTCCCCTCTGGGGAGCCGCTTGGGGCCCCTAAGACGGCCCCACATGGCCCCATGAGAGCCCTCCCCAGGCCGCCAGGGGGTTCCGAGAGGTTTTGATATATGAGCCTCCTCCAATTATTACCCAATCCAGGGTTGTGGATGCCACGACAATGGACACCATGACAGTCCTATCGTTGAATTTAAGATTGTTTAATGTATAGGAACATGTTCTAGACTTGTTTTAAACATATGTATTACATATTTAAAACATGTTTAATCCATGTTTTCGACATCTGGAAATTATTTGGCAACATGCTTCCTCTCCATTGATCGTCCTCCACATATCCAGCCAGTGCTTGCAATGGATGGGTCCAGGCGGAGATCGAAAGACCATGCGAACATGTCATGCCAATTTCGGCACGCGGCCTGGTTCCCGGGTTTCGAGTTTCGGACCCTCCAGGACGGCATTCCAATGCCGCAAGAGGGGCCCAAGAGGCACCATGATAGAATCACGCAGTTGCCCTCTCGCCTCCGAGTGTTGTGGCTGCGCTGGCCTCCTCTTGGAACCCTCTCGGGGCCCACGGAGACGGCGGCGGGGAGGGGCTCGGAGGGCCCCAGGCGGGCCCTAATGGAAGCCCAAAAGGAGTCAACGCGAAGTCTGAGGAGAGCCTTCTCGCATGACTTCATCTTGTCTCCTCTTGAATCGCTCCTGGGTCCTCCCAGGGTTCCGCGCGAGACCGTCGGCGGGCTTACGCATGGCTCAAAGAGGGCTCGAGAGAACCCTAAGAGGGCTCCAGGTGCTCCCAGGAGGCCTCCCGAAGCGCAGCGCCAGTAACATCCAGAAAAAAGGGCTCTCTTGAGGCCCTCGAGAGCCTTCAGGGAGGCTCCTTTTCCAAGTCTGCCTTCCCTCCTTTTTCCCAGTCTGGCAACTCGTGGTCCACGTGCGACTCCCCGCCCTCTACCTCGCCCCTTCCTGCTCCAGGCCCTCGCCCAGCTCACGTTTCTGTGTTCGCTCCGTTCGCCTGGCGCCAACCATCAATGCATCGCCACGTGAAGCAACATGTTTCTGACCCGATGAGCCGGGTGGTAGTGCGTGATGCTTGTTGGTCTCCGATCCAAGTGAAACGACGTGAAGATCGGGACAAAATCGAATCGGGATAACTCGAAATCTCTGAGAATCGGCGGGTTTGGAGGATGCATTGGGCGCCGCGGCCGCTCCAGAGTGTTCCGGAACGCTCTGGGAGCGCTCCGGAACGCTCTGGAGCGATTTATCCCGATCCTAGCCCTGTTCGACCAGGGCTGTGGCAACGCCGCGAACAAACAGATGCAACACCGTTGAAAACTCGACAGGGGCCCCGGACCGCACCGCTCCGCAAGACGGGTGGGACCGGATCGATCCGCGAGGGTTCCAGGGCCCAAGGCGGGGCGCACACGTTCGGTGTGAAAGGCACGGCGCCGCCCCGATCTCGGGGCCTGCCCCTTCCTGTCCCGAACGGTTTGAGGGGGCCCCAGGACACACAAATAAATACACACACAAATAAAACGATCCCCCTATATTTTCCAATATTTTGGTGGCTTTTTGTCTTCCCCCCCACTTCCAATATTTTCGCATATTTTTGGGGGATCGACGGTTACTTGTCTCTGTGTGTTTTTTCCCTCCTGACGGTTGCCGGGTCATGACTCAGGCCTCTGGCGGCCGTTCGGGGCGATTCTCGCACTCCTGGAACGCTCTCGCCGAGACGCAGCTGATTGAAAACACCCCGCGCTTCGACAACGGTCGAACACTACAACAGCATGAGGAGCAATAGAAAGACATGCGACGCAAAGATCTCCAGGTCGAGTCGCATCAGTCTGAAATGACTCTGGCAGGTCATATAGCATCCAATTCCACGTCGAAGGAATACGATATGGGGAGCGGATGGATAGGATTGGATAAGATCGATGTAATGATCTTTCCAGCACGTAGCGAACACTAAGGTAAGTGTCCAGGCAAATCGGGCGCGCGTGCCTTGAGCCAAAAGGCCGCGGCGCGCAGGCTACACTCCCGATCCTCTATAACATCTCCCAAAGAGCTACCCTTAAAATCGGGAGGGGAGGAGACGGAGAGTAAAGCCGCGCAGCCGCTAGGCTCTGGAAAGGCCGCGCGCACAACTGTTTGCAAGAAAAACAGTACGCGCAGTCTGGTCTACCACCAGACTGAAGGGCGAGATTATTCGCCGGCGAGTTTCCTCGCAAAGCTTTTCCACGCACACGCAGGATGGCCCCTTGGATATACAAGGGCTGTCGGCCCGGCTAGAGGTAAGCCAAACAGGCTATTCCCCTCCGGGCAAAAGGGTATTAAGGCAAAGAGCCTGAACCAATCTGAACAGGCTCGTTGCCAAGCGTGAAAAGTATGGCTCGTTTCCGAGCAGATGAGAGGGCGCCTCCGTATTAGGCGCCACTGCTGGCAAACTGGACCGCAGGGGCAACAAGGACAGACTAAACCTGAGTCGACTTAGGTTTGTTTTTGTACTCGGGGCCTCGAAAGGGGACAAACTGCTTCACGTCATACTTAAATGACTGAGTGCCTGACATCACTTCCAAAAGCAGCTCCCGATCGATACTCCCATTTGTATGCCCATCTGCGGTCATGTCTCTAGTGTCACACCACTGTGCGTTATGCACTATACCTAAATCCATGAGCTCACGTATCCAGCTGATATGTCCCAGCAAAGTACGTTCCGTCGGTTGTTTTAAAGGTCTTTGCTGGATAGCGATTTGTATACAGACTCACCGTCTATAGTAAGGGATACTTTGATGGCTAGGCCTCCAACTTCACGCATGTCTCGTAGTTGTCGTGGAGTAAGTGCTCCGGCCTTGAGCTCGTGGAAAGTGATGAGCGTGGGATAACGCTCATCAAGATTATGTGCAGCTGCAAGTGCCTCAGCGGCATAACTGGACATCACCTTCAATCGGTGTGATTTGCATAATCCGTCGCAAAGGTGAACGACGGATTTGCCTTGAGGCGAGTTTCCTCGCCGTAGTACGTTAGCCCCACGAATGCCGTAGCCCTTGGTTTCATCGTCCTCCTCCCCGGTGAGTCTCCGATGCCCCGAATCACTGTGTATGTCTACATCATTCGTCGGTTTCATCCGGGGGAAGGTGATGTGTTTCGGGCTGCTGATCAGCTTTCGCGTCACAACATTCAGTCGTCTGACTTATAAGTTGGTGGGTTCTTGGATCTTCTGGAGAGAGACCACATGCACCATAAGCCAGACTTGAGTAAGAAGGGCATAGGCGAGAGCTCCTCGCAGGCTAACGAACATGTCGGTGATAAGTTTAGTAGCTTTGGCGTCTGCCGCTGCTCCCCTAAGTTCAGGATGTGTGATAGGACGTAATTGTTTATGTACTCGTCCTGGTCCATGATCACATCCCCTTGTTCATTCTTCGTGTAGCGAACGGCGCAATTAATGTAAGAATGTTTGTTGAGCTTGCGTTCACCAAACACCTTCTCGACACGTTGTACATAGTCATCTACGTTTTTTCTCTAGGCCTGTCATATTGATGTCGTCGACATGTTTTGCCGTTAACAGATCCTGACTGAATTCAAACTCAGGATCGTAGCTTGTCGATGTAAGGCCTATATCTCGTGTAGTCGTACGAAGCTTGAGGGAGAACGCTCTCGGGGCGTCCTTTGTACCCGTTCCTGGCTTGAGGTGCCCGAGGCAGTGCCGGCTTTCATCGTAAGAAGAGAAGCCTGGTAGTGCAGGAAGCACCTGGGCACTTCCTGGTGGAAGGGTGAAGCAAACAATGCGAGTTTCCTCGCCGGTGGCATGAGCAAGCTCCTCATATGTCAGTCCTGTGAGGAACGCTTTGTCGATGTCAATAGATGCATGGATGGCATGCCGCCTCACTTGCCAGAGGCCTCTGGGACCGTCTACGAGCAATTCCTGAGAAGGTTTCTACATCGAAAGCCTCCGTGTCCATGAATCCGCGGAGGACAAGTCTAAGACGGATGGTTTTAACATTCCCGGTGCCTACTTTCACAAACTTCATCTCAAAGCATCGGTTGTCAAGCCAGATCTTGAGTTCGGTGTACAAGGCTTCACTAACCTCTTTAGGATGTGCTGCTATATCGGCTTTGGTGAGTAGGTCGTCTTCCTTGACTACCACAGCACGCGTAGCAGCCGATGATACATATACTTTCATCGTTGCGACCATATCTGTTTCAAGCTGTACAAGTTGGGTCTGATCCAACACTACCTTTGACATTTCTGGCGTGAAACATAGCTCAACATAGGGGACATGTTCATCACTGTCAAGAGAATAGCCCTCGTATGGTGTGGTCGAGCATAGAGAGGCAAGACAGGGCTCTTGTAGTTCAGGCTCGTCTCCGAGCATCTCCGACACAACGGTATCTTCCTCGTCCACAGATG